CAAACAAACAAACAAAAACAAATGCAATCATTTCAGAAAAAGTAGAAAATAAATAATTAAAATGAAGTAATTGTAAATCTTACCAACTAGAGATGAGTACTATTAGTATTTTCTAGTATATCTTTCTGAAGTTTGCTATTTTTCAGTAGATATGAGAACCACATAAATATGGTATTTTAATTTTTTGTGTGTTTTGAGACAGGGTGGAATTTGCTCTGTAGACCAGGCTGGCCTCGAACTCCCAGAGATCCACCTGCCTCTGCCTCCCAAGTGCTGGGATTAAAGCCATGAGCCACCACACCAGGCTGCATTTATATCTTTGATTTAGTTGAAGTTTAGTCTTTTATACTCCTTTGAAATATTGGTCCAGGTTTTTCTCAGTTAGTCAAGCTCCATTGATTTAAAAATCTGGGGAGCCGGGTGGCAGTGGTGAATGCCTTTAATCCCAACACTTGGGAGGCAGTGCCAGGTGGATCTCTGTGAGTTCAAGGCCAGCCTGGTCTACAGAGCGAGATCCAGGATAGGCACTAAAGCTACACAGAGAAACCCTGTCTCGAAAAACCAAAATAAATAGATAAATAAATAAATAAAATCTGCCTTTGCCTCACGGGCTTGGTATTTATGGGAAAGGAGAATTGCACCTGTATTAGGTTGTTTGGGGCTTTCTGTTCTATGCCATTCATTGGTCTGTCGCTCTTTCCAGTATCACGTTTGGTTGTGTTCTAGTGGGTGGTATATTACAATTTAATTGACTAATTCAGTTTTATTAAACATTCAGCTTCCAGGTTTTCAGTATTCAAAAACAAAAACCAAACAAACCAAACAAAAAATAAAAAACACCCCAGTGACCGTTTTGAGCGTGCATACATCAAATCTGTCCATGGGATACATTTTTATATGTAGAATTACGAGGTCAAAGGTGTGGGCCTTCTTGGGCTCTTTTCATGCTTAGAGTCAAAATGTCTTCTAGAAAGAATGTGGTGATTCCCACTGCCTCCACCGTGTGTGTGAGAGGGCTGGTTCCCTCCCCGGCTCTCAGCATTATCATTCTTTTTAATCATTGCCAATCTGATCAGCACAGAAAAAAAGAGCCCCTCACTGCTGCTTTAATTTGCCTTTCTTTGAATGCTAGTGAGGTTGAGTATTTTTTCAATTTATGTTGGGTTTTGATGTACATAAGTTTTTAATTTTTTATGTAGTCAAATCTATCAATCTTTTCCTCTATGGTTTCTGCTTTTGTTGACATGTTTAGAAAGTCCTTCCCCATCCTAAGATTATAAAATATTCACTTATATTTTCTTCTAGTACCTTGATGGTTTCCTTTCCGCCTTCAGCCATCTGGTATCCATTTTGATGAATGGTGCGAGCTGGGAAATAACTTGTATTATTTATTTATTTCCCAAATGGATGCCCAGTTCTTTCATCACTGTTAAAAAAGCACATATTTGTATGTGTGTATGCTCATGTGCACGTGTGTAGCTGTTCTTAAAGTGAACATCTTGAGCAGATGGACATATGATGTAGGATAATGTGGTGCTAGGCACTAGGTCAAGAAGAATGTCAGTAATTGCACAGAACAGATACAGCACATTCAAACACATGTGATTGCTGGGTTAAACTAACAGGTTTTCAAATCAAATGGACCCACATTTGACATTCTAATCTCAGATTTGGGCCCTCCATGATGGCACATGCCTGTAAGCTAGCATTTAGGAAGCTTGAAGCAGAAGGATTAGGAGCTGGGGGCCAGCTTGAGGTATACATGGAAACCCTGTTTGAAAAACAGTAACAACAAGTTCTGGCTTTCAAGCTTGCTGCTGCTTCAGATTTGATCAAGTCAGGAGGGATCCTCCTTGAGTCTTAGTTCCTTCATCTGTAAAATGGGCTAATATGTGTGTCAGAGGGCTGTGGTAAGGATCAAGTGACATCGTCTTGGTAGCACCTGTCTACACATGCCTTACACCTCACGGACAGTGTGTGTGTCACTCACTCGAGACACCATGACCCTTGCTCTCCTGACTCCCCGTGATTGATCTCTGGCCTTACTGTAAATAGGATCTACTGGAGTCTGTGTGTGTGTGTGTGTGTGTGTGTGTGTGTGTGTGTGTGTGTGTGTGTGTGTAGAGGGGGGGCTGGATGCTCTGTTTGCTTTCTATGGGTTTTCTATCTTTTTTTTTAAGATTTATTTATTTATTATGTACACAGAGGAGGGTGCCAGATCTCATTACAGATGGTTGTCAGCCACCATGTGGTTGCTAGGAATTGAACTCAGGACCTCTGGAAGAACAGTCGGTGCTCTTAACCTCTGAGCCATCTCTCCAGCCCGGGTTTTCTATCTTTATAATCAGACCTGATGTGTTGCCCTGCTGCATCTCGCTCATACCATTCGTGATCTTTCTCTCCCTCTGAACATACGGCTTTCAATCTCACACCAGCTAGAAAGCCAGACCACTGGATTGTTAGAAGTGTGTTTAAATGAAAGGTAGCTGAGATCTGGATGCGAAGCTGAGGCCCTCTCCTATTGTTATCAAGTGATTCCCGGTCCTGGCATGTAGCAGAATCTCCTGGGGAATTTTAAAGCACACCTGTGCCCCGGGCCTGGCCCAGACCAATTAAACCAAAATCCCTGGCAGTGGGACCAAGTGTGGACATTTAAATACTTGGCAGGTGATTCTCATGAACATGTAGGACTTAGAGCCACCCATGAACATGCTGGCTTTGTGAGCTTTCTGCCCCTTTGGGTCTCTACCAAGGTGTGCCCCAAGTTGGAGAGGTCGCTGTACAAAGAAGGCCAGCTGGTGGAGGCGGCAGGGATGTTGTGGCTGCTGTTGTCTTTGTTGAAGAAAGCATCTCCGTGTACCTCTAAAAGGCATGTTCCTGTGCACATTAGGAAACATCAGTTCCTCTTCAAAAGCTACAACAGTCCCAGGCACTTCCGTGATGCAGTTCTTCCCACCTGCAGGGACTTGCTGAGCCCACCTTGGTGTTGACCCCTCAGAGAACAGGCTGTGATGAGAAGTGACCCAGAGAACATGTCTTCAGCATTCCTGCTTTGTTTCTGGATTTGTTTTCTTTCTCTTGGTCCCTTCCCAAGGCCCTAGACGTATGCCGGTGACACTTGTCAAGCCTGCATTGTGCCCAGCCTCACCTGATACGTGGTAGGAACCACTTGCTCCCAAACACAGGCTTGCCCACGTCAGCTGCTGGTGGACCACTTTGTCTCTTGACAGAATGGATATACAAAATGTGCTCTGTGGGGCTGTGTGTGAACCTCAAATCTTCTGTAAGATTGGCTTTCCTATTTCTCTCAGGTGGGTTCAATCCACGAGCCTCAGACTCCTTCCCAGTGCCTTTCCTGGTTCGTCTAAGACTACAGCCTCCCGAGTTTGCTGTCTAGGGCAAAGTCACCTCATTTTCCCTAAAGGATAAACCTGCTCCGCCAGCAAAGCAGGGAAGGGAGAATCTGTGCTAGAGGCATGATGGGATTTCTCACCCAGCATCCCATCCAGCCCCCCAAAACGCACAGCTAAGATCAGGCTGGATCCTTCGGTCCACCCTTTACAGCTGTTGGGGAGAACAAGAGAGCAAGCGAAGCAGAAATCCAGCCTTATCAGATCTCCCTGACAAGCCATGGCGTGGTGCCCGCGTTCAGGACTGCCCCGCCGGTGTGGGGGCAGCTCCTGTGTGGTCAGGACAGCAGCAGCCAGGGCCTGGCAGCAGAAGCTGGGACTTTAAAGTTCAGACGCACCCACTTTAGTAAAGGAATCCAGCGGTGGAGGCTAGAGTTTCCCCGTGGTGCTGGCATCGGGACTCGTTTCCTGTCAAGTGTGTGCCCTTTTCTGGGGTGGCTAGAAATGGTTGCTCCTTTTTGTGGGAAATTAGATCTGAGACTTAAGCAAGGTTTGGTTGATTATTGGGGTGCATCCCAGCTGACCTCTCAACCCAGCGCCTTGACTGGTCCTGTCAGAGGCGTACTTTATTTCCACAGAAGATGATGGTTTTCCTTCAGGTACGTTCAGTTGAGACGCCGGATGCTCCACCATTGTGGCCTAGTTGGTGGTGTGGATTTACAATTGAACCAACGTGAGCAAGTGGGGGATTAACTTGTAGAGTGCTGTTGATACTCCTACTGAAGTAGTCAGTAACTGTCCGGGGGAGTGATATAGGATCTGCTCGTTGCTCAGGTGATGCTTTTTGTATGTCTGGAGGAATGGGGTTGGTCTCGCCTTTGCAGCCCAGGGTGCTCTGGGACACACTTATTTGTTGCTATCTTCTCCCTTCCCCTCTTCCAGACTCCTCACATCAGAATATGGCCATTGCCTGTGGTACCGAACAAATGAAAATGTAGCAGGATACAATATGAGCTGGAACTTGGGGTGATGTGCTGATGGAGTTCCTGATGCTGACTGTGCTCTGTTCCTGAGGCCCTGTGGCTCTCCCTTAGTAGTGGACCATAGGAAATGTCCTGAGCTCGCTGACTTGCTGATTATAGAGGAGGCAGTGCTGCCCCCTAGAGGCACTTTAGAAGTGTGTGGCATATTTATGTTTGTGGCTGGTTGAGGTGCCACTTGGGAGGAGGTGGAGGGTTGTCAAAAATGGGACATTCTTGAGCTGGCTGTGGTGGTGCATGCTTTTAATTCCAGCACTTGGGAGGCAGAAGCAGGAGGATCTCTATGAGTTTGAGACCAGACTGGTCTACACAGCAAATTCTAGGCCACCCAAGGCTGCATAGTAAGACCCTGTCTCAAAAAACAAAAACAAAACCAAAAACAAAATAAACAAAATAAATGGGGCCACTCTTGTCTTACACCTCATGTGACATCTCAGTACCTCATCAGCTGTTAGAATAGGTGGAGAACCTCTTTATATTGGTCTGTGCCTAGAACCTAATTCTGTTTTGTAAGTAAACACAACATACTTTTCATAGCTTTTGAGTACATAATTTTTGTGTCTGGAACTATCTTACAAATCAAGAGAGCACTGTATTTTGTCTTTAACAGGATTTGTTCACCATTTCAGAAAACAGCACTACCAACACTGTTTACAGTATTTGAGTTACCCAAACAACACACCTCTATTCCTCCACGTCGGTAGATGAGTGGTAAGTTAACTATCTTTACAAATATACGGTGTTTAATCTTGTTTCAGAACATCAAATACAAAGACTCACACAATAAATATTGCATAAATATTGCTTCACTTCTTTCATTCAAATATATTGACTGTAGGAAGGTGTGGCCATCTGACCTGGCTGCATTGATGGCTTTTTTGGTACAATCATGCTCACTCATTGACTACAATGTGTATATGTGTATTGTTTCACTCTGTTATTTTCCTTTTACCTATCTGTCTTTCAGTTGTGATATTGTATTGATTTTTGTAAAGCATATGTTATGGTACCCATATATTTCATTTCTGAATAGTGAAGATGGTCTTATGAAGGGTTCTGTATAAAGGGTTCACTGGTGTAGCTTGGTTGGGGCACACTTCTCTTGGAGAAGACCTCTTAGAGAAGATTTTGTTTCATTCATTTTTACAACTCCCTGAGCTGCTCTTATTGTTCCCAGCATTTTTTGAGGAAACTGAGTCTTAGCAGTATGGTAACTTGCTTGAGCTTTCACATCTAGATAAGTGTGAAGCTGGTACTCGAGAACCCTCTCCCCTCACTGGTGTGTGAGTCTGCTTCCCACTTTCGTGTATGCCTGTTGTGCTGGCTAGTTTTATACTGGCTTGACACAAGTCAGAGTCATTTGGGAAGAGAAAAACCTCAACTGAGAAAATGCCAGGCTGGAGAGACGACTCAGCAGTTAAGAGCACTGGCTGCTCTTCCAGAAGACCCAGGTTCAATCCCCAGCATCCACATGGTAGCTCACAACTGCCTAAAACTCCAAGATCTGATACCCTCACACAAACGTACATGCAGGCAAATTGCCAATGCCTCCACCAGATATTGGCCTATGATGAATTTTCTTGATTGATGATTGATGTAGGAGGACCTGACTCACTTCTGGGCTGTTAGTCCTGGGTGCTATAAGCAAGCAGGCTGAGCAAGCCATGACAGCAAGCAGTGCTCCTCCATGGCCTCTGCTTCAGTGCCTGCCTCCAGTTCCTGGCTCCAGTTCCTGCCTCCGGTGCCTGCCTCCAGTTCCTGCCTCCGGTGCCTGCCTCCAGTTCCTGGCTCCAGTTCCTGCCTCTGGTGCCTGCCTCCAGTTCCTGCCTCTGGTGCCTGCCTCCAGTTCCTGCCTCTGGTGCCTGCCTCCAGTGCCTGCACTAACTTCCTTCAGTGATAGACTATGATATGGAAGTATAAAGCAAAATAAACCCTTTTCAAGTTTCTTTTGATCATGGCGTTTCTATCACATCAATAGAAACATAAAGAAGACACCTATATGTCCATCTCCAGAGACTTTCCCATGCACCCAGGGCCTTTCTGCTGGAGTCCTCTCTACTCTCCTACAGGGTTCTTACAGGGTTCATAGGGAGCACAGCTTGGAAAGAGGGAAATAGCCATTTCCTTTTGGACAGAATTTCAATAGACTATATCAAAGAGCAGTTCTCTGCACAAAGCAGACCCCAAATAACCTTGGATGTGTGAATGAGTGGAGGGTTTGGTGGGGCATTCAGGGAAGCAGTGCTGGGTCCTTTGAGTAGCTCCTGGACTTCCAGTAATTAGTTTCAATAAATGAGTGTTTTGCTAGGGTTGAAGCTCTTCCCTATGGTGAGGCTCTTCCACTGTCTCCCCCTAGCTAAGGGCGGGTGGCCACTTCTACCCAGGAAGTAGAGTTCTTGAAAAAGGAAGTAAAACACCCTTCTCCCTCCCTCCTCGTGCCCAATGGCATGGGCCTGGGCACTGCAGGTAAATATGCTCCTAGATGACAGACTTCCTCTAGGCTTGCTCTGTGACCTAACAGAGTCCCTGCTCTGGAAACACCAGTTCCTACCACAGTCACAAAGGAAAGGTGCAGTGTGCTGCGTGGATCTCTGGCCTCCGCAGGTCCCCCCATGAGCAGCTGCCTCTGCTTCCATTTGGGGCTCTACTGCATTGGGACCTAGGCCACTTGGCCTCTCATATGGACTGGAGATGTGTTTTCTTTTACTGCTCATCATTTCACGAGCAAATGAAGTCCAGCTGAGGAGAGAGTGCCAGCAATGACGGCAGGCTGGGGAGAGCAGAGGGCCCATCCAGCCAGGCTCAGATTTCATCTCTGGCCACTGGGAAGAATCTGCTCTAGTAACAGGTTCCCTTTCCTGGAGCTCTCTGCTTGTAGACCTGCAGTAACTTTATTTTGTATTACAATGAGATGCCAAGGTAGTTCCTGCTTTTTTAAGAAGTTGGGTAGTCATGGCAACCCAAGGGTGGAGTGGGGGTTTCTTAGCATCATCTCCTCTTCACTGTCAGATTACAGAGAAAGTGGCTTTGGAGTTGGCCTCATTAAGATGTGGTGGGCACAGGTTTGGGGGCAGTTCTCAGGCTGGCCATGCACGCTGCATTTCCTGTATCCTCTGAGGCTTCCTGAGACTTTCAGCTCTTTTCTATTAAGAGAACTGGTGGTAGCCGGGAGGTGGTGACGCACACCTTTAATCCTAGAACTCAGGAGGCAGAGCCAGGTGGATCTCTGTGAGTTCGAGGCCAGCCTGGTCTACAGAGTGAGATCCAGGACAGGCACCAAAACAGAGAAACCCTGTTTCGGGGAGAGAGAGAGAGAGAGAGAGAGAGAGAGAGAGAGAGAGAGAGAGAGAGAACACTGGTGGGAATGTGTGTGTATGTGTATGTGTGTGTGTATGTGTGTGTGTATGTGTGTGTGTATGTGTGTGTATGTGTGTGTGTATGTGTGTGTGTATGTGTGTGTGTGTTTGTGTTTGTGTGTGTGTATGTGTGTGTGTTTGTGTGTGTGTGTATGTGTGTGTGTTTGTGTGTGTATGTGTGTGTGTTTGTGTGTGTGTATGTGTGTGTGTGTTTGTGTGTGTTTGTGTGTGTATGTGTATGTGTGTGTATGTGTGTGTGTTTGTGTGTTTGTGTGTGTTTGTGTGTGTATGTGTATGTGTGTGTATGTGTGTGTGTGTTTGTGTGTGTATGTGTGTGTGTGTTTCCATGGGGGACCTTGGCATGTCAGCCAAGGGCCAAGACAAGCCTGTCTCTGGCTCTGACTGAAATTCCCATACAACATCTGTCTGGGAAGATACTGGAGAAAATAAGGTGAGAACATTTAACCTAGATACCCCTCAGCTGAGTTGCTGCGTCCCTTGCTCTGGCGATACGGGGCTTCCCCTCCAGCAGGAGCTGACTCCCCCTACCTCCCAGTTCAGCTCCTAGCTAAAACCTACAGAAGATACTCAGCCTTGCTAATGGCGCCCACATGTCAACTCCGATCTTTCCCAAGCCCTGTCAATTCCTCCCAACTCTCTGCAGTGACTGTTCTTATTAACGGGAGCTACCACGTGTAGGACATTTGTTGAGAGGACAGATTCCCATGTATCTATCACCTGATAGTCACTAGCAACCCTGCGCGGCACACACGGTTAATTTCATCTTACAGAGGAGGGACTAGAGACCCTGGAAGTTTTCTTGCTGGCCCAGTTAGCAGAGCTGTTTCACTCCAGGACACAGACTCATCCTGGCAGCCAGCACCCTGTCTCCATTCCCCTTGCACAGGCCTCTGCCTGACTTCCTCCCTGCCTCCTTCCAGCTGTGAATAGAAGCCTCATCCCTGTGACTGGGTCCACCTTCCCCCCCTAGTCCCAATCTGGGACAGAGTCTTGCCCATTTTGCCCCGAGGATCCAGCCTTTTACTGACCTCCCCAAATCCTGCAATTTTCTGCTTGCTTGCTGTGACCTTTGTACAGTATGACCTCCTAAGTCTCAACCTGTCCCACAAGCCCTAAGCCCTGCCTAGCCCATGCTACATCTCTCTCAGGGGACCCTGTCCTGCCTGTGCCCGCTCCTGAGCCCCGGCCACCCTCTGCGCCAGGCTGACCGCCGTTCACTCTTGTGCCCGCTCTGTTTTTGTCATTTTCCCTGATTCTCTCTCTCTTGGTTTTTCCAGACAGGCTTTCTCTATATAACAGCTCTGGCTGTTCCGGAACTCATTCTGTAGACCAGACTGAACTCACAGAGATCCTCCTGCCTCTGCCTCCCAGCTGGGACCGAAGGCATGCCTGTGCCACCACCGCCAGGCTTGTGATTCTTCATTCTCCAGCAGGCCTCCCTCCTCCCCATCGCTCTCCAGAGTCCTTGAGCTCTGAAGCTTCCTGTTGCAGAGGAGGTGGGGCTTTCCAATATACTCTTTTTAAACCATGGACTCTGGGGGTCTGAAGTGGGGTCCTCATGTTTGCATATTAAATACTCTACTGACTGGGCTACCTCTCTAACACTTCCTTATGATCTTTATATATCATGGGGGACACACGGGGTTAATGGGGGGGTGCTGCCAGTAGCCTAAAGAGCGAATAAAATGGTTGACAGGCTGTATCTAGTCCCAGCTCATGGAGTGCCTGTCAAGAGCTCTCCTTAGGCCCTGGAAATAAAGCTATAGCGGCTCCCTTTAACGGAGATGAAGCACACTGGGTACTGTGGTAGGCAGGCTGCATGTCACCGCTAAGACTGGCAACCACTGTCCCTGTTTTAGAGCAGGGCCAAGGCTCAGAAAGGTTCAGTGTACTCAACGCTTTATCTGTTGAGACTTCTCACACCGTGATGGCTCAGTGGGGTTCCTGTTCCAGGCTCCTGCAAGTGCAGCAACCCAGGAAGCTCTCAGAGGGCTGAGCGGCCTCAGCTGTACCTTTCCACACCCTCCTGGGAGTGCTGAACCCTGTTCCACCCTCAGCTCTTCTTGGAAACCGCAGTCCCCTTATCCCAGCTCCATCCCCAAGGATAAACCTAAATGGAAAAGGGTATGAGCTGTCACTGGGGCTCAGGGTGACTGTGTCCAGACTCTTCACCGAGGACCTGCATTTATTTCTTGTTCTGTACCCCAGAACATCCTTTGCGTCGTTGACTAAGAAATCTGTGTCTTTTTCAAGATGACCTTATCCTTATACCCAGGTCTCTCAGTAACCCATAGACACCCCTGCCTCTATTGTGTCTGCGTGCTGTGGCAGCGGGGGTGGGGGGTAGGGGGTGGGGGGGTTAGATGTGGCCTAGTCCAGTTCCCCCATTTCTGGGCCATAGACTGGAGGCCACATCTGGAAAATGGGGAGCAGCTGGACTTGAACCCAGCTCCCTAGCTCTCCTGTAGTACTTGTCCCCCATAGAAGAGGCCCTGTTTTTTGGTTCTGGAGAAGAACCTGGCCGCTCCTCCCTGAGGCTCACAGGCTGTCTAGGGACTGCTCTACCCCCCTCCTCCCGGCTTCTCTGGGGGAGGGAGCCAGCTCATTGCCATCTACATATTTTCAGCTGAGTTATATTTTGCATAAAGTAAACTTAGCAAACAGAGAGAGAGAGCGCGCGCGCGAGAGAGCCACGCAGAGAGTATATTTGGCTTTGAAGCATCAGCCTGACAGGCGTTTCCTATTCGCTATCTCAGAGCCGCCCAGCTCCCGGCCGGGTTTTGCTTAAGTGGCATAATTCTCCTGCAGTAGAGACAGCTCATTCATTAGTCATTCCAGAAGCCAGATACAAAATACTCTTCCTGAGCCAACTCCACCAACCAGCTCCACAGCCACCCTGCGGGCTGGGCAGACAGACTGCAACCGGGTCGGCGGGGCCCCGGTCAGTAGGAGTCACCTGTCTGAGGCTCTCGGGGGGACCTCCCACAGGGCCGTCTTGCCTTCCTTCCGGTTTGGAAGTGCTTTTCCCCTCCCCCCAGTAGAGGCTCTGCCGGCCCAGGGGGGTGGGGGACACCTTCCCCTCCTGCCTCACTCCTGAGTCATCACCACACAGTGCGGAGCTCCAACGGAGACACTGCTTGGTTTGCTTCTGTTTTCTAGCTGGAAGCTAAGTCGTCCCGTCTCAGAAGGGTGTTCCTGCTTTCGTGTCTCACCAATCTTGCCCCGCCTTGATGGGCACGTGTGACCCCCCCTTAGCCCCTGCACACAGAGGCCTGATGCCCCCATTTTGCAGGTGAGACTATATTGCAGATGGGAGTAGTCAGTCAAATGTCTCCCAGTCCCCCCACCCCACCCCAGTTCAAGCCTTGTCACTCCCAAAATGCACCTCCCTCCTCTGCCAGAGAGTCCTCTTTTCCTAGTTAGGCATAAAGGAAGCATGCTGCCATACTCCAGGCTCCCAGAGCTGGGGCGGGGGGTGGGGGGTGGGGCGCTGCCAAGCCACCAGCCAGAAAGCAGGGAGGCCTGCTGCCCTGAGAGAGAGATTAAAGACACTGGAGTGCCAGCTGAGGGAGCTG